ACTTCCCAGATGTGCCCAAAGGGAAGAAGTCTGGGACTCTCCATTTGTCTGGGGAGGGCCTCTTTCTCTGAGGCAGGATTTTTCTGCAGGAGTGTCAGATGTTCCTCTGCTGCTGTCAGGGTTACAGGGTGAAGAGTTCAAAGGTTCAAATGGGGACAGATAAGCAGGAGCCTCTCTCAGGTCAGGGTGTCTTCTGGCAAGACAGGACTAAAGGGCAGCAGTACACAGTCTGCCCTAAGACTGGGGGAGAGCCCAGAGTAAGTGACTATAAGCAGGGCCCAGACTGGAGGAGACTGGGTCCTCCCTCTGAGGTCGCTCCTGAATGATAGCCACCTGCTGGCCTGCCTTTGTAAGTACAGAAACGACCCTACAACTGATTCTTCAGATTTCCTTGCCAAGTGTAACTCCTACTAGGAACTATGAAGGTCTCTATCCCCTGACTCCCCCACCACATCTTAAAGAAATGTCTGAGGGAAATGCCCAGATGTCACATCCAACCCCAAGCATTAGGTAACCTACGCCCACTTCTAATGGCCTCAGATCAGGGAATTGTGAGCCAGAGAGAAAGAACCCTCAGGTAAGACTCAGTGTTTGTCAGAGACAACAAAAGAAAACCATTTTTCTGGCTCCCTGCCTACTGTTTACTACCCGTGTATCATTCCAACTGAGAAAGAGTCAAGCGCCACTACCTATTGAGTTTTATGTCTTCTAAATCTGGGTTGCTTTTAATACAAACCTGAAGTATAGCCAGTTAGAGCCACTCAGGACTCCTCTGGAAGCTGTGTGTGCATGGTAAGGTAGTGTGGAGACAGAGAAAGCTTGGAGTGCTGCCGAGCCTCAAAGACCAACTATTTTTCAACCGTTGTTCTTGGAATTTTTACAAGTATTTAATTGATAATTAACATTTGAATTTATGTTTCAGTAAAAGCCTGTGTACATGGATGAAATGAGAGCCCTGCTTTTCACCTGATCCATTTAGATTTCCATGTTGAATTTTTGGTTTTGTTCTTAACTAGGTTGTAACTAGATGAACAAATTAGGAGATAAATTCACCACACCAAAATCCCACCAAGTGCTTCATGTATCTACTCTTTTCCTAAAACATTGAATGATAATATTGGCTCATCACAGGTTTTCCATAGTTATGGATAGATAGAAGAATATTGGGTGGATGGATGGATGGAAGGATGGATGGATGGATGGATGGATGGATGGATGGATGGATGGTTCCTGATTCATACTGGCTTAGTTTGACAGAAGCTATACAGTGGAGGCTAAGGGATTAGGACAATACCATTCAAGGCTCCCAGCTCACAATGGAGCAGATACTGGGAATTCGAGAGAGAAGTTTCAAGCTATTTGTAGAAAGAGTCCTTAGCCTAAGTGCTTTGCATGTAGGCTTAATCTATTATTGCCCTTTAATTCTGGTAGCTGAGTCTCCTAGGCTTCCTTTACATGAATAAACAATGGGTAACATCTCATGAGTTAAATGTGATGGTCACGTTCATTCAGAAAAAAGTCCTGATTGACCCATGCTTGGTGCATGATTAGGGAGAAGGGGCTGTTCTTGCCAAAGAGGTATGCACTACAAGCATGAGGCCTGCTTGGGACCATCTGTGGAAAGATTTATTACCTTCTAGACAGGATGTGCGGGACCTATTTGGTGGCAATTTTCTCATGAGGTCCCTTGCCTATGAGGGAGTGAGCGGCATTGATATGACCCAGAAATCACATTTAGACCTCATCCTTTTGAGCTAGGCTTACTCTGTTGGATATAAATGCCAGTGACTCGGTGAATCTGTGTGTCTGCCATGTGTTTCTAGAGTCTTAGTGCTTCTGGTAGGGGCACTGAGAGATGGGTTCATGCTACAGAGTCCTGAGCAGAACAAGGTCACTGTGGCATCCCGGTGCTAAAAAGTGCCAGGCCTGAGTCAGGCATCTCGTGGGCCTGGCCTGTAACTGAGTGAGGTACACCTGCTACTTCACCTTCAGACCTGCTGGAGCTTCCCTTCTGCTCAACGGGCACAATGCTATCTCCCTTGCCAACTTATGTGGGCTCTTGTAAGGATTAAACAATGAAGGTGATTTTTTTCTTCGGTGTTATGAAAGAATAACTGATTAAAACTCTGTATTAAAACATAACATTTATGATTTGAAATTTATGTATATTGTGAAATAATTGCCCTGACTAGGCTGACATATTTATTATCATACATGGTCATCTTTGTGTGTGTGGCCTAAAACCTCAAGGTGTAGTCTCTCAACAAATTTCAGTTATACAAGTTGAAATTTGTACACAGCAAACATGGCACTATTAGTTACAGTCAGCAGGTGATTTTTTAGACTGCTAACTGCTAAGTACAAGTGTCATTTTGGCCACAATCCTTTTTTTTTGTTTTTGTTTTTCAAGACAGTGTTTCTCTGCCAAACAGCCCTGGCCATCCTAGAACTCACTTTGTAGACCAGGCTGGCCTTGAACTCACAGAGATCCACCTGCCTCTGCTTCCCATGTGGTGGGATTAAAGGCGTGCGCCACCACCACTTGGCCCTCTGGTCACAACTCTTATTCACACTCGTGGAGTAAGTACTGATGAGGTGGTTAGAGACTCTCTGTGCCTCTTAACCCATCACCCAGGCTTCTTTTCCTTCTATATGAGTTTATGAGAGAAGACTAGTCACAACTGGTTTAAAATGGAGCTGTAATAGAATCCCAAGTGTGAAAGACAACACAGAAGGCTGTAGGGGAAGTAGTGGCATCAGAGGAAAGCTAAATTTCAAGTAGGCCAGGACAGCAAGCATTCAGAGTAATGGGATGTAGGAGAATTTTAAAATCACAGGTCTAGCTCCAGAGGACTCTAGAAAAGGGGAGAAGGGCAGGGTGTAAGGGATCGGGGTTGGATGATGAAAGTGCATAGCACTGGCCTTGGACTTCAGCATGATCGTCAGAAGATTTCATTGTCTGCCCAAGTGTAACTCAATGGGACAGCAGGAGAGAGGGCTATGAAATGCTTCTCCTTGAATTCCCTGTATTCTTAGGTATGATTATGAACATTCCATGTTGCTATCTCTGTACATAATTAAATACAGATTGCCATATTTTTCTAGTTCTTAGAAAGTAATTCCAAGTCAGGCTTTGGTGGCACACACCTTTAGTCCCAGCAATGGAGAGGCAGAGGCAGGTGAGTTCGAGGCTAGCCTGGTCTACAAAGCAAGTTCCAGGACAGCCTCCAAAGCAATACAGAGAAACCTTGTCTCTAAAAACCAAAAAAAAAAAAAAAAGTAATTCCATAAGTTCTCTCAATGCAGTCCATGATCTACTTACTATTCTTTGGACAATTGGCATTGTGCAGTACCCAACAGATAGGTGCCTGATGATACGTTAAACCATTCTTATCTGCAGATTCTGCATTCCTGGATTCAATCAATCCCATGCGTAAAAGGTTTAAGAAGATCCAATACATATATATATATAGACTCTTTTCTTGTCAATAGTTACTAAAAATTATAAAGCATTTTACATGCAGCATTTATAATATATAAGGTGTCATAAGTAATTTGTAACTAATAATTATATAGGATAATGTATGTAGATTATATTCCATAAGGAATTTGATCATCCACAGCTTTGGCATCCATAAGGAGTTCCACAACAAATCTCCCTTGGATACTGAAGGACAATTGCACTATGAATAGAAATAATAAATAAAACCGCCCACTCATAAATATAATGTCATGCCTGTCAAGCCAAAATTTACTATGAATTTTTTTGTTCAGGTTATGAATTGCAAGCATTTGTACTGGGAGTAGGGAACAGAATGTCTTGACATTTTACTATACATAAGACTTTCAGTGTTGTTTCACAACTAGCCTGGGGCTAAAATTCTGAACCGCTTAGACAACAAAACAAATGATGTGCGTGTATCCTTCTATCACATACTAAAATATACTCACACACTTGACCTTGAAGCAATACTGCCACCCATTTGCTAAGGTAAAAATAAGACAAAAATTATAAACACCTTTATTCTGTGTATTTCTGTTTTATGTCTCGTTTAATTTTACCTAAATATTTCCCCTTGGTTCTATGGAATATAGAACAAAAGCCCTACAATTCAGTTTAATCTAATTCCAACTTGGAATTGCATTAAAAAAAACCACATGGACCTAATAATCCCACTGTTCCTAGTACTTCTGAACCTTCTCAAACCTGCTCTTCTTTGGGCATGCATCCCCAAGGGTGTTTCCTGGTCCAGGAACAGCCAGTCTGACAGTTTATACACTGTCCCCCTCCAGTCTCTGACTGAAGCTCCTCCCTCCACTTCTAGCCCCCTTTTCTTCTACTGAGTCTTGTCCCACAGCCTGAGTGAGGCCATCTGTGAGATGGGCCTAGTGATCCATACTTTCTTTGAGCTTACTAACTGTCCTTGTATTCCTGGAAGTTGGGGAAAACGTTTACAGAGGTAACAGTGGTTTCACGGGGTGGCCTATCTGGGTCTTCCTTGTGTCTTGTTGGAAAATAACACATGAATTTTGAGGACTGGAACAACTCCAAGCCTAGGGGTCTGGAGAGGGTGACAGCAGGCTTTGGAAACTTCCAGACCCAGAGTGATTCTGTTCAGTGTTGCCTTTGGAGTGAGCTTTCTGCTGGGATCTTAGATGGTCACAGGCTTCAGAGAAGGCAGGACCTGTCTCAGCCTTGCTGATACTTCTGTGGTATACATGGTGGTTTGTGGAGGGTCCATAGTCAACATTAGATGCAGTGAGGTTGACTTGGTAGACTGTGAAGCCCTTGGCCCCTACACTGTCCCATCCACATACATAATGGAACAGACAGAGGTCTCCTTCTAGGAGTTGCTGATCCAGCCAGGTGACAAAAAATAAGAGGAAGGGCCCACTTTACCCTTACCTCTAGTCCTGAGCCTCTCCTGTATCCATCTCAGGTAGGAGCTGCTCCAAGTGGTAATCATACTTTCTTTGCTCCCTCTTTCCCCGCCCTACAGGTTCGGAATAAATTGCCTCATCCAGTTTGAAGACTTTGCCAATGCCAATGCCTTCCGTCTGCTCAACAAATACCGCAACAAGTACTGCATGTTCAATGATGATATCCAAGGTAAATTTTCATCCGCCTAACGAAGTCACTGGGTAATAACACTTTTTTTTCACAAGGCTCACCCAAATGCCAAAAGCAGGGGAGGAAGTTGTCTCATAACTGGTTTGCTGCCAGAAGCTGTTAAAGAAACAATATTAGACTTGGAGTCAATTTCCACTTGGCTCATTCTTAGCTCTGTGACCTTGAACATATCTCTCCACTTGGCTAAGCTTTGGTGAGCTTAAGCACCAAATGGAAATCATTAGTATTTCAGAGGTAGATAAGAACTATATGATTTCATATTTATAAGAAGTTCCATATACTTCCGTCAATTCTTAGCTACCTGAACTTGGAAAAATCAGTTTTCTGACTATAATTTTATCATCTGTTCTGAGAGGACAATACCTGCATCAGGAAAGCACTGTAAAGATTGCAAGAGCCAGGGATAGGAGACTGAAAGCCTCAGTGGGTAAGTGACACCTACTGCCCAAGCATGAAGATCTGAGTTTGGTTTCCATGTTCACATAAAAAGCCTATTGCACATGCCTGTAATCCCAGTGTGACTGATACAGGAGGATCACCGGAGTTTTCTGACCTTCAGACTTGCTCCCGTTTCAACGAAAGGCCCTGTCTCCATAAAATAAGGCACAAGTGATACCCAATGTCCTCCTCTGCTTCTAGGCATACTGGTCAACATGTGCGTACATCACATACATGTACACATACAACACACATACATGCACGTGCACACAGAGACAGAGAGAAATACACAGAGAGGGAAAGCTTATACACAGAAAATATGACTCCATAACTTATCATATCAAAACATCAGTGCTCATAAAAATAGCTTTCCCTATTAAAATTCCATAGCTGTAATATCTTGCTTGCAGGCTTCCAAACACAAGGTGCATCCCTGTCAGAGAGTCATGACAAATCCTTCCCTAAGCTTGGCTGAGAGTTCTAAGTTTGAAAGACACTGGCAACCTGAGACACAGAGCATTTCAAAAGTCAGTCTAAAGCATCTTTTAACTCCAAGTCACTTGGTCACCTGTGCTAGAGCCTTAAAATCCCCTAAAGGAAGTTGCTTCTTGCTTTGGAGGTGCCTGTATCAGAAGCTGGAACAGAGCACAGACCTCTCAGATGCTCTTATCTGGCTCAGGAGATCTCATGAGAATGGTTCCTAGATTTTTGTAAGGCCCAAGGGAAACCTTGATGGCTCCACTTGTTACTTAACAGATGAAGTTGGGTGAGCCAAGCCTGTTAAACTGACAGGTCACATCGGATGAAAAGAATGAGCTAGTACGGAATGGTCTCATTCTTGAGTACAATTTGACATTCTACAGCTGATTCCTCACACACCCAAAATGAGAACAACTCCTCAAGACAGTTAGCGGTATACGAGAGAAAACATAGACCCAGTTTAACGTTTATTGCTGATTATTGGTAACTTAATAGGCACTATTCTAGGAACTGAACACATTTAACCCTGTAAGATACTAGCGGGGCTGGAGAGATGGCAAAGTGTTTAAGAGCACTGACTGCTCTTTCAGAGGAACTGGGTTCAATTCCCAGCACACACATGGCAGCTCACAACTGTCTGTAATTCCAGTTCCAGTGTACCTGACCCCCAGGGCAAAGCACCAATGCATATAAAATAAAATTAATAAATTTATTTTTAAAAAGATACTAGTATCTTGGTCTTCTGAATGAAGAAACTGAGTCACAAAGAGAATAAGTAGCTTGCCTACTCAGTCATTGTCCAACTGAAGGTTAGTTCAGGTATCTGGACTCTAAATCCCACATTTATAACCATTTACCATACTTCTCCAGGTCTAAAACCCCAAAGCCAAGTGCCTCTTTTCTTTTGATCCACATTATAGAGTAACAGGAATGTGATAAATGATTTTGGGGGGATTTGTTGTGATATAATGCAGTTATATCACACTGTCAGATAATTGAGTTCAAACGTTATTGCAGGGCCTGGGGACTGGATGTCCAGAGAAGGGTGGCCCCGAGGGAAAGCTTAGCTTCTCATACTGTCTTTCCAGTCCCCTGATGCCTGAGCCTGCAACAGGCATCGGTGGACTGTTCCAGCCACATCCTGACAAACCAGCTACTCTCCATCTTCGTGGTGCAGTCCAAGAGGACTGGCTGGAGGCAGAAGAGCTTCCTCTCAACTCACAGCCAACCTAGCTGGCAAGTCTGTGGCCTTGGAGGAAGCACCTGCTGACTAGCTCCCTGTAATGCCACCCACACATGAGTCAGCAACAGGACAGCCATGTTCAGAGTCCCCTGGGCTGCCAAGTGGAAAGCAAGTCCATATGGTCAGCACACCTGGTCCACGGGCTCCAGATGTACGGTCAGACAGATAGACTTATAAACATAAACATATAATGATATCCTCATAAACATGCACAGGAACACAGCAGAGCCCAGCTGTCCATCCACCTCCATCCTCCCACACACTGATGAATGCCAGAATGTTCCTCTAAGGTGAAAACAATGACTCATTATACTAGCCATCCCTTTGTGAGAAACTTTACACTCATTTACTGAAACACATGGGTTGGGGAGCAAAGACCTCTTCCTTGCCCTCCAATAGTCCCTTCAGTTTATTTGGTTGGTTTTTGAGATAAAGTCTTACATAGCCAAGACTGGTCTAGAACTCCTATTCCTCTTACCTCTACTTCCCAAGTGCTACAGGTACAGGAGGGCACCACCATGTCCAGCTGCTTTCCATCACCTTCACCCGAGGAATCCCTTTATTCTTCAAGACTCAGCTCAATGGGTCACCTGCTCAGAAATGGTCTGGTTTGGGTACCCGCCCAGGTGCTCTCCTCCATCTGTTCTTACAGTGGTCAATTCTACATCATTATAACAAATACTTGAGAAACACAGCTTAAAGAAGGCAAGATTTATTGTTGCTCACTTTTGGGGAGGTTTCAGTCTGTGGTCCATTGTTGCTGGGTCCATGATGAGGCTGAGCTTCATGGCAGGAATTGGGGCAGAGCTAGTTACCTGATAGCAACAGAAAGTAGTGAGAAAAGAGCAAAGGGGACTTGGGACCAGATACGTCCTTAAGATGCATGCCCCTGGCAACAATTTCCTACAGACAGGCCCTACTTCCTAATTCTCATCATTTCCTAACATCCTAAAATTTTGAATCCATCAATAGGCTCATTGGTGAAGTCAGAGCCCTCATGATCCAGTTACCTCTCAATGACTAGACCTACAATCAAGGGCTAAGATTTCAACAAGTGAGCTTTTGGAAGGTGCATCATATCCAAACAACTTCACTCTAGATGATTTCATTGCTTCCTCTGCCTCTCACTAAATGATAACCTTCTGGAGTCAGCAACCATGGCGTACTTACTTTTGATCCCCAGTTCCCAATGCAATTATTGGCACATTGGATACATGAGGATGCATGATATCTACACATATACAAACAACATTCTCATCATTATTCCTATTCCTGTCTATGCTAGTCCCTGCCTTGCAGCCTCTCTCTTTCCTGATCATCATACATATGCTCACATACAAATGCACCTCACATGTGCTCATCCTCCGATTTTAGACATGTATACAAATGTGTATAACTTCATATGAAGAGCAATTTTTAAAAATATATCAATTCATGTGTTTAAATTCATTGAGTTCTGAGTCCTATCTATAGACTCTCAGACAAAGTCAACTGGAGAGTTTTCAGGTTCTCACAAAAAAGGGAGATAAATTTCCTATTCTTTTCTCAGAAATTAACACAGAAGTTATGAACTTAGAACTCATGAGAAGAAAAGGGAAATAGAACAAGAATGACAGGAGTTCTCTAAGATCATTGCAGCATTTGGTGATCACAGCCTGATATGTAGATGTGCCCTTACAACTAATCAAAACATGAAGAGGTTGGCCTAAGACCTCAGAGTCCTGCTCTGTCCCAGGCTACCCTCCCCACATGAAGAAATGTGTCTAATCATTCCATCCCTGTTCTGGACTGAGCTCCTACTGGGGTTAGTCAAGGCTTTGAGGTCTACACTGAGTCTCTATATGGTTCTCTGCTTCTGTCCACATAAGCACAAACTTAGAGAGACACAGTCCACCCTGCATGATGTGGAAATAGTTTCAGAATCTTGCCTGGGGGCCACATACTGAAAAGGCCAGAACCAAGTGACTTCCATGAAAGTGAGACTACAGACATGCTGCCTACTTTAAGCATAAGCCCTGCCTCATACCCTCAGTGGAACAGGGAAAGATGGGACCATGGTCCTCAGGAGCCTCCCAGGCTAAGCTTCCTGTGGGCTCCACTGTGTGTGACATCAAGCACCTTATTTGTACTGTCTGAATCATAGACCCCATGGGGCCCACAGGGTTGAACTCTGGAGTCAGAGCACAGAAAGACTTCCTTCGGTTTTTGTCCTCTGTCCTCACCCCAGCTCTGGCTCATAGGAATCCTCGACCCGGGCCAGGCTGGTTCTTGATGAACAGGGCTGCCCAAGCACTGATTCATTGCTGGCAGCCTCATCAGGAATTTTGGAACAGGGAGATGCTCAGGTGACTTTTGTTGTTTCAGCTGGGAAGTTCTTTGCTCTTGGGGGAGAAGAGAGAGACAGGGAAGGGGGTTGGTAGTGGGGAGAGTCGTGCTGGGGACAGACTAATTTTGACCTTAGGAAGGATACCTTGCATGAAAGGAATCAGGTACAGAACACCACTGACCTAGTGACCTTGGGCCCTGACCCCCCACTGCAAGCTAACCACAAAAAAACAATTGGCTCATCAACTCTGGAACACACTCCACCCTACCAAACTTACCCTTGCCTCTAGACCTTCTAAGTCTTCAAGGACAGATAGCCTGACAGGATGCCTGTATGCTATGCCACCCTTTCTTCATTTTTGTTTGTTTGTTTGTTCTTAAGATAGGGTCTTGCTGTGTAGCCAAGGCTAGCCTTAAGCTTGAGGTGATCTTCCTGCCTCCACTGCCTTCCTACTGCTTGGGATCATGAAAGTGCATGCCCCAAAGCCTGGTA